TTGATACATTTTCGTGACAATATTGAACCATTTGGAAATTCATTGATATTGCTAGCAGGGGACTTTAGGCAAAAATGAACTGTCATTCCTCGATCTACAACAGCGGACGAAATAAATTCCTTCCTCAAATATTCAACCTTTTGGCGACACGTATGTATGTACATATGTACATACATATGTACGTACGTGTATACGTTACAGTTGAATAATAATATGCGTGTCCAGTTACAAAATGATCAATCGATCGAGATCTTCTCACGCCAGTTACTGCACATTTGGAGAGGATTTCTGTAATTTATGCAGTTGCAATGAGGAAATAATTGATCGTGTGTTTCCTTGTGTTTCCTAATATTCAAATAAATTATAGGAACCACAATTGGCTGAGCGAACGAGCTATCCTTGACGCCAAGAATAAAAATGTCTACGAACTCAACAATGTAATTCAGTCCAGTGAACATATAAGTGATTAGGGGAAAACTACTTGAGTAGGAGCTAGGATGTAAAATAAAAGTCGATTATAGAGGGAAGCAAGTGTGGAAGCACGATGACGGACCGTGGGAATTGGGGATAATTGTTTTTACAACAAAATTTATGTATGTTCTTTAATGACATTGCCCTTTGCATTTCCGATCCGATAGCTGAGCGCAGCTTCGCTCGGCATAGATAAGCAGCGAGGAGTCGCAGAAAACAAGGAGCGAGCTTTTAGAGAGCAATTATCGTGGCAAGCTCAAGCGAACATATTTAATAACAAACATGGAATAATGACAGGGGTAACGCAGCTAGTCGGCTGGGTTCTGCTCCGAACAGGGAAGATATTCTCATTCCTCGAGGTCCCACGATCCCAACTGATACGCCATTTTAATTAAAACGATTGCAATTCCCATATTTTCTTTTATTATTATCTTCTAGGAAAAATATTATTCTTGATAAAAGTTTCTGCTTAAAGTCTTTCCAGCATATTGAACTATCTAACAAAATTATCAGAAAGTTTGTCCAACCTCGGCTAACAGTATATTTTTAGACTTTTCTAATCGCAAAATTTGGTAACGTCACGCCAGTAACGTTCGTCAGATGCTTCCGCGGACTTATTGCAAAAAAAACAGCAAAGGTTTTTACATTAAATAACTTTGAAAGTTAACACTGCAGATTTCAAATACATGCACAGTAAATTTGTATACAGATAAACCTACCCATTTTGTACCCCAACCTCGAAAACCACTTCTGTTTTATGTAACGAATTTTTACATTTTTCCGGTGATGTTTTTTCTAAATTTCGGCTTTTTGACCATACGAAAGTAACGTAACACCAGATAGGAACTGCTAATATGGTGCTTCATTAGCCTTGGTACAGGGTCGAGGGTAGCATTGTTAACCGTTTCATTTTCGTTTAAGATTTGATAAGTACGTCTTTTGGATATTTCAAGCTTCAGTTGACCTTTGATCTCCATGCAAGACTTGTTGTTTGAACGGCTAGACGTCGAGTTGGCCTCTTGCACCGTTCATCGATGCGTTTGCCGCTCCGCTTAATTTTTTCATATAATTCCGGATTTCTGAGAAGGTTAAAAATTGTGTTTCTTTGTCGATTTAGTCTAGCAAATTTAGCTGGCCAGCTCTTTGATCAGACCGCGATCTTCCTCCAACAAATGTGTTTCTCGTGGAAAAATTGGAACAAACGCCAAACAGATATTTGATGGCATTAGCAACAAGTCGGTAGGTATGCACTCCGAAATCAAAGCGCCATAAACTCAGACCAAGGAACTCCGTCAAAGAGCTGTTATACGAAGGCAAGAAATTGGAAGCGAATAACTTTAAGAGAACGAAGGGCCAGGACTGCGCATGACCGTGGTTAACATAACTCACGTCACCCCCTCCAAAACCACAACTCTCTTGAGATTTCAGTTCCTATATAGATAGACCTATTTGGGCTAAGTCAAGTCGCAAACCCAACTATAATAATTATAGCAAAGAGCGGCATCGTCTCCATTGAGGTATGCGCAGTCGTCGAGAGCGTCAGGAGCAGGCGACGTTCGGAGAGGATAACATTTCGTCTGTTGCTGTTACTGCTGCTGCTAATGGAGACGGGGCAATGGCATCAAACTGCCTCGAGGAGCCTCATCATCAGAATCCCTTCCAAGAACCGCCAGATATTAGCTCCAATCGAATCAGGTGTGAGTACTGGTTAATGGCTTAATGGAGGGGATTGTTTGAGCTTAACGTGGCCTCCTGACTAACCCTTCCTATGTTCTGCCTCTGTCCTCATGGCATTCCTATAAATCTCAATTAGTTGTTACACATTTTATCTGGCAGCAACAAATCACTGCCCCAAGGAAATCCAAATGAAAAGTGTCGCTCGAAGTGGAGCTGGTGGAAGGTGGAAGTTGTCCCCTTTTTTGTGTCACAAGCATTTCAGTCTTCCGGCGCGGCCTTCCTTTAGCCCCAATGTCTTCATGGTAGAAAATGGCAACAACTGCCACAAGAAGCTGCCGGACAATCGTCGCATTTTCCAGTGGTGCCCAACACTGCCCACTGCCTCAATCTTCCACAGCTATGCACCATCCACTCTGCCCCAACTCTGGCACATTTTCGCCTTTTAATTTCGCACTTGGGTCATTTTGTTGTTTGGTGTGGATTATAAGACCACTTCATATTCATGCAACTTACAACCGACCCTACCGGCACAGAAAAAAACTTCCGCCCGGCCCGGCCCGACCCGGCCCGGCCCCAGACAAACCAGACATTTGCTACTTGGGATGCTTGCCACAGAGGGGCAGGACAGGGAAGAGGTAGGCATAAAAACCAGCTGCCTTTTGTATTTAGCCACCAAAAAAGAATGGAAAGGAAAGGAAAGGCAAGAAACGGAATGGAAAGCGATGGGCAAAGAACAACAGCAGCAACAATAAACATTTTCTGACTGGCTTGCCAAGTGCAAGTTGACCAAAATGAAAGGCCAAAAGGGCAAAAACAAAGTGCCTCCCCTTGAACATACCAAACCGGACCATACCGGACCATACTCTCCTAGCCATTCTAGAGGCACCGGCAACTCCACTCGTATTCCCATTCCTTTGGGGCAACGGCGGGACGCAAGCACTTCAATGTCTGCCATTCGTCGTCGTCAGAGGCAGTGGATCCACGGCTCAGATAGGACAATGACGGAAAACACATGGAGCAGGACACAAAAGTACGAGTAACAACTTAATTTTTGGCCTGCTGCTCTTCAAACATCAGGGAGGCTTGGATACCCTTTAGCACAGCAAAATACATGGACATGGTCTCACTCCAGAGATCTCTCATTCAGCGAAATGGGCTTGACACGTTTCGACGGTAAAATGTTGAATGATAATGTTTACAAATTGTAAGAGGAAAATGGTCTACATATTTTAAAATGCAGAGAGCATCATGTGTACTATTGATTCAATTCCATAAACCGTTAAGAGCTAAAATTGCATTGAATCTCCCATCTCTTTGAAATTGTAGTGCGCTGATTTCGATTTAATTTTTGAATATATTTTAAAGACGGAGAACTGAGAAGAATTCGCTGAAATGTGTAAAGCCCCATCCAGATCATTGGCCTGTAACACGTTGAGCGTGCGATAAAACTACCATACAAATCCAATAGTTGAAGGATTGGGCATATAGTATCCCCTTTTTGGCACTGCCCACGCCATCATCAGGTGTCCCTTTGTTGGCCAAACCATTCCATCCTCACTTAAGCCCCATTATGCCAATTTATTTAAACCCCCCTTTACGTTCTCGTAGCCGGAGAGGAGAGAAGATGAGCAGACGGAGCTGGCCAAAGGGAAAGAGCATTAAATAACAGAAAGTTCGCGGCCCCGATTCCTCGCCTTTTCTGTAGGCCACTATTATTTAAATATACTCGTACTCGTAGTATTTTTCTTCTTTTTTTGACTTCCCTAAATGTCCGTCGCTCGGCAGGGAGGGATTGCGGTGAGGTCATTGTTCACAGCTGTTCATTCGTAGCGCCTTTTTTTACCACTTGTTTCGCGTTCTGTCTATTCCGTTTCATTCCTTTCCTGTTTCTGTCCGTATCCGCTTCCGTTGCCGCATCTGTCTCCATTTTTGGATATTTTATTTAATTTTTATCTTTTTTTATACTCTCTGCAATGGGTATTACGCTATTGACCAGATTCTTGGCACGCAGAATATGAAGCGGAACTCCGAAAGTGTACGAAAATATAGCCCTTTTTATAGCTTCCATAATGATTACTTCTTATTTTTGCAAAAATACTCCAACCAAGCATTACCTAGCAGTTTCATGAAAATCAGCTGGGAAATTTTATAGCATGGTTCTGCTTTGTTTTGTTTTAATTAAAAGTGGTGACCGCCAAGCGCTTCTCGAAGTATCCCCCACTACCGATCCACTCCGCTTGTGGGAATATAGGAGAACCTTTTCTTTCACTCCGGCCGACAGCCGAACCCCTTCTTGGGGCATGCCTGTGCATTAATGTGACTTATAATCAAGATTGGCAGCAACCGAAAGCGGGCCAGAGCGGAGTCAAGTGGAATAAAACCAAAAGTTTTTCGTCCTCCCCACTGGCGGCTGCCTTTGTTTTTCGGCCACATCAAAGGGAACAACAGACACCCACCCACCCCACGGGGCACTATTAGTGGTCGCATTTTGTTATTTTTGCTGCATTCCATTTCACCCTCCAGCCAGATGCTTCCCCGGAAACTCCATCATCCGCTTAGCCGACCCTTTGCGGCATGTCATCTCTTCGAATCGGTGGTAAGGAGGCTGATTGCTGATATTTATCCCCACATCGGATGTATCATAGACAATCGCGAAAGAGAGATAACAATTTTCAGGAAATGTCGTTACATTTCCCTTTTTTTTAGTGTTGAGTGCTGTCCGTTTTTGTGTGAAAATGCGAAAAGCAAACGTACATTTGCAAACAAAGTATTAAAAAGGTTAAAAATTCTGCCAATTGAGTGTAATTTGTAATTCATCGTGAACATTGTTCTCTTCTGCAGCGTCACCCAAATTAGGAATGCAGGGATTCTTCTTCGGTCGACGGTAGCAATTTGATGTGATGCAACGATCCAGAAGACCAAGCAATCACTAGGAGTGGATCTTCAGGCGAGTCGTCTTCGCCAAAAGCTACGCATTCTGCAAATATATTTTCATCTCTTTCTGCACGCCCATCGATGGTGGAATAATAGCATAGCAACGGAATAATCTTCGGTGGCAAGTTCTCACACGGTACCAGCTTGTAGAGCTTTACAAAGTTTTTCTTCTTGAATTTTATCACCAGTAAGTTGTTCTGGGGGCTGACAATAAACTGCTCGGGGTGAGCTTCCAGATCTGAAAGGACACATTGAATCCAGAGGCCATCTTCTTTTTTGCAAGTCAGGGCGTACAGCTTGGAGTCTCGCTCATGGGCAAACAGCAGATACTGACAATCGCCAATGGTTGCCCAGGCTGCAGCATGAATTGTGGCCTTCATCAGGAGAAGGTCCCGCTTCACGTCCTTGCGATTCAAGTCTTGATTCCCGCTTTGATTCATCTGACAGATGCTTGCCCGAGAATTGTTGTCTGCACAGAGCAGCAACTGGAAGTCAGGGCTAAAAAGCAGCTGGTGGTAGCATGTGAGAAGGCCGCCGGGTCCAGGGACGAAGCGTACGAAATTCTTCTTGTCCATATCCCAGATTACGATATGGTGGGTACTAACTGCCGCACTCACCAGGTGCGCTCCATTCTTGCTCCAAGTCAAGGACGTCACGTATTTGTGTCCCGTGGCACTCAGCAATCTCATTTGGTCGCTGTTTTTTTCCCAAATGCATAGCCCTTCCGCGCATCCTACAGCCAACATGACGGTCCCGCTGGGCCGGAAGGCAGCACAAGTGATGTGCTCTTGCCACGAGTCCTGCAACTCGAAAGGCACGCTCTGGTCAAGGCCATCGTAAACCAGTACAATGTCCCCGACGGTGATCAGAGCGACTTGCATATTGCCGGTCGGCGACGCGTGGCACACGACGAATCGGAAGCGTGTCGCCTTCCAGATGGGTGTTTGGTGATAGATGGCCAATGTTAGAGTACGGTCCTTGAGGTTGGCTTTGGCCCCAAGGAGATAGCGCACCCACAGATCGTAGTACTCGTAAAACTCCTCCTCATTGTCAGCACCCTCGCTGGCGCTCCCATCCAGATGAGAAACCGCATAAATATCCGAAACATTCGACATTTTTCTTAATTTTCCTTTTTTTAAGTCAAAAGTTGTACTTGCACTTTGTGAATGTATTGCAGAAATATGTCATGTGGCTATCGGTAAACGGAATATGGAATGGAATTTGGGATGGCAAAATGTTTTCAATAATATATTGGGAGCGGAACACAATAGTGTTGTTGAATAATCATCGTTCAATTTACCAAATTTTATTCTGGAACTAAGTCGTTCTTAGTTGGTTATTTTTTGTTAATAGTTCGTTTATGTTATTCGTAATTTCTATCAGAATTCGATTTATTTATTGTATTTATTAAAATCATTTGATTTGCCGTACCAGCAAGAAACATCGAACTAATAAGGTAAAAATATCGATTAAGCTGAACTTATTCAGCCCGTTCATTATAGTCAATAGTTTTTTTGATCGTTCGTTCATGATGGACCCAACAATAGAGTGAAATAGTATTAAAATGGAAATTGCTGTCATTTATTCTAAATTAATTAAATGTTTTCAGTAGTAATATTTTCTAAAGCTTAGAACAATTTTCGATTATAAAATTTCATGTATGCACTGTATCGCTAGCGACAGTGTTGCCAGGTGCACGGTGCACACACAACGGTTACACTGCTAATTCAGCAGTGTCATTGTTTTGCTTATAAATTAATTATATTATTCTCGTATGACCTAGCAAGTTTGTCAGTTAACAAAGTCCAATGGCATCCGCCAGTTAGCGAGAATAAAAGCAAGCAATATATCTGCATTTGCGCGATGAAAGAACTATAAATATTGGATAAATCCATACTTGCGGTAAAGAATGGATCGCCATGGAATCAACATGTTTCTTATCTCCATGTACATACATATGTACATACATGTTCATGTTGGCCCACACCGTCAGCTCCATGAGTCTGCAACATGGCGAACACAAATATAATCAATCGCAACTTGTGTCTTTTGATCGCACAAAAGCTTTCTTTCCAAGCTTCTCTCATAGCTCAGGCTCTCTGAGAGAAGAAACTGAGAGAGCACACCCTGATTAAAGATCCAAAATAAGAGATCACTGATGGAACTTAAGGGGGGCTTAAGAGACAATGTTTAATCAGCATGGAACATCAGCTACTCGAATTACTGCTATCAACAGCTCTTAATAAAGAGATGAATAGTGGGAGCTGTGGCGTTATACTTTTAGGGCGGAGGTGACTCCCCCCTGTAAGGCGAGGCTCTTGCTTGTGGTGGTTCCAGCTGGGCGTATATCTATCCGCGGGCGACAGAGACAGTTAGATGTTAGGGCGCTGGCAGCTTTCTGCAAACCGGGAACACTGGCACCTTATAAGCTAGATCAGGAGAGCGCCGTCAATCAGTTTTCCCCAGTTTTCATCAGTGTCAGCCTGCGTATAACAAAAGTGAATAGTAGCAGCAGAAGGGGGCGAGAAATAAAAAAATAGGCCAAAATTTGTTTCCAAAATTTTGCTAAGATTCTTTACAATTAAAGTTAACTGGGGAAAAAGAATAAAGTCTTGGTAAGCTTTCACAAGAACCTGATAAGAAAGTAAGCCCCGTTGAGGCAAATCGAATATCTGATTCGGCAGAATCTTCAAAACTTTTGTCATCGGGGGATGGTAAGCACTTGCTTCAAAGATAATATCGTCTGAAGTAAGGCCAAAATCCACAGAAGTCAACACACTCAGCTTTAATTTCTTAAAAATCAACTAAATATATAAGCAAAAGCCAAAAAGGAAAAAGAATGCCTTGGTTCAAAAAGTTTTGTCTTTAGTTTGCGAGTATTGCAGTTAGTTCATTGTTTCCGCATCGTTCACAAATACAATTTAGCAGTACTAAGCTGGGACGGTTTTTTCCTATCGCAAAGATTGGCCAAAATTAATTTCAACAGTTCCCAGAAAAAAGGCAGGAGAGCAGGCAGACCAATTCAGGGGAAGAGCTGTTTACGCAAACAGACATGCCGATATCCGAGTAACAGAAAGCCCCGCCCAGGGAAAGTAGACTCAAGACCGACTCGGATTCCAAAACGAAGTAAACACAAAAATAAACAGAAATCAGAATCAGAAAGAAAGGCGATCTTAGGGGCCGAGGCATTGGATGGAATTCATTTGATGTGGATCTCATCCACAGCTTCAAGATCGCAGAAGGGACGGCGTATATCAAAGGGGGAGTGTACGATTTCCGGCCATAGAAACAGAGGGACGAAAGGAATGTAGACTCACAGACAGAACAAATAGAACAGAACACTCGATGCTGGTAATAATGCCGAATACATTCCTTCTCTGGGTTGCAGCCTCAGCTCAGAGAAGATACATATATACGAGTATGCCGTCTGAAGGGGTTTCGTCAAGACAAAAATGCGAACTCAGGGCCTCAGGGGATTTCACTCGTAAATCGTATTCCCAAATAGATCGATCGAAAGTTTGTTAGTTGCTTTCTTCTGTACTGAAATACTTTTGCTTTTCACCTTGTAATAGCTCCAATGGAGGTGGATACCATTTGCAGTGGAAGTAACTGTGATAGCGACAGAGGAATTTCTCCAGGTGCCCCGCTTCCACCGGTTGCCGCAGGCGACGGAGAGGACCTTCGTCCGGCTGGCACTGGGAATCGCAGATGCGCCAGTAGCACGTTGAGCGTCACCTGTAAACGTGCAAAGAAACAAAATATGTCGTCTCCGACCGCCTCACAATCCCTCCATGAAGAGGGAATGGATAACGAAAACGAGGAGGATTCTGAATACGCGGGCGAGGTGACCTCAAATCCAGTGAACATTTTGGACTTGTACGAAGAGTCTGACTCTGTCCTTGCTTCGGACATAGACTTGGAGTCGGAACCAGAGGAGGTGTTCGAGGACTTGTGCGCGGAACCAAAGGAGGAACTCATTGATTTAAACGGGGACGATGACGCAGATGACGAGGACGAACCAGAACCAGCACCAGCACTTGCTCCCAGACCAATTAGATCAGATCTAAACTTAAATAACAAGGTCCACCAGCGGGAGCTTGAAGCCCTAACAGCCCTGGATTCCTACGAAAACTTACACAAAGACGAGACCGTTGGATTGAAGGACTTTGAGATACTTTGCGTTTTGGGTTTTGGGTCGTATGGAAGTGTGTACCTAGTGCGCAAATTGATGGGTACCGACATGGGCGCTCTCTACGCCATGAAGGCGATCAAAAAGATAAAAGTTTTGCAAAAACGGCAACACGCCGAACACACAAAAATGGAGCGCATTGTGCTGCAGGCTGTCCAGCGAAGCCGCTTTCTCTCCCAAGTACACTATGCATTCCAATCGCTCTCTAAGCTTTATGTGGTAATAGATTTTATCCGTGGCGGCGACCTTTTCAGCCACGCTTCCGAGATTTCGGACATGGGGGAGAGTGCCGTTCGCTTTTACATTGCCGAGATGGTGCTGGCTCTGGAGGAGCTGCACAAGCTGGGCATCGTTTATCGCGATCTTAAACTCGAAAATATTCTGTTGGATGCAGATGGACACATTGTTCTCGCCGATTTCGGACTGGCGACGCTTCTGTCCGAAGAGAAGCAGTATCGCACCCACAGTTTCTGCGGAACCTTGGAGTACATGGCCCCTGAGGTCCTTCGTGGTGAGCCGACAGGCTACGGCATGGCCGTAGACTGGTGGTCCGTGGGTGTACTAACTTATGAACTGCTCAGTAAAGGAAAAGGACCTTTTGAGAGCCCGGCGGACATCCTGGACGCGGCGCAGATCGTCGAACGCATACGCAGTGATGGGGAGATGGTATTCTCGTCGGTCAGCCCTTCTGGCCGGGATTTTGTGCTGTGTATGTTGGAGATTAACGAAAAGCGCCGCTTGGGCGGGAACGATCGGGAGGCCAATAAGATCAAGGAACATCCATGGTTCAACCATATCAACTGGCAGTTACTGTTGGCCAAAACGTACCCGACTCCATGCAAGCCCCCCCTCAGCGGCGAGGAAGACGTGCAGAACTTTAGCGTCGAGTTCACGGATATGCCGGCTGTTGATGAAGAATCTGAGGAAATTCCTGATACCATCAAGGTCTTCCGTGGTTACACCTACGTTGCTCCGCAGCACTTGGATGAGATTCGCAGAGCCAAACAGGTCCACATCGAGTACTGCCACCCGGAAGTAAACGAAATACCAACGAGGCCCGACGGCTTCTCTTTGGGGCCTCGCATCCGGAGGGGATCATTCAGCTCCTGCCACATCACCATGGCCCACTACGCCCACGCCCAAGGCCGCATCGTGGCCAAGGTCGTGCCGCTGTCCAAGTTCCGGCTTTCCGAGGTGGATGCCCTGGCCTCCTGTGCCACCAAGACAAACCCATCGGATCATCGATGCCATCCAAACATTCTTACCTACTATAAAACGATCCGCGACAGGACCGACGTCTGGATTCTTACGGAGTATATACGTGGTGAGGAGCTAAGCGAGCGCTATCGTTTGAGAAACCTTGATGAGAAGACCTGCCGCCAAATTTTCCGTCAGATCGTGTTGGCCGTGCGCCACGTCCACTCCAAGCATTTCATACACGGCGACATCAAGCCCGAGAACATATTGTTCACAGATACCAATTCCCAGGACCTGACCATCAAGCTGATTGACTTTGGAAATGCATGGTGAGTCCTCATATCCATACCATAGCCGTGTCTCAATGCCTCTCATTTTTTATGTTTCTTCTTATATAATCGAGTTTTCTTTGTGTACAGCTACAACAGCAGCTCCAAAAACTGGAAGGACATACCACGGTACACTCTCGACTATGCTGCTCCCGAGCTTCTCGCCGATTCGCGGTTCGTGTCGTACTCACCCGGCGTCGACATATATGGCCTTGGGGCCACTCTCTACACAATTGTAGTGGGTCATCCCCCCTATCGCCAGGACGAGTACGACATGAACATGGGCCACGAGAGACTGGACAGTCTTCGAAAAACTATCCAAGCCGAATCTTTCAATAAGCTCTCTAGGCGTTGGAAATACGCCAGCAGACCCTTCAGACGTCTGGTCGTTAGGTGCCTTAATCGGGATCCAGCCAAGCGTCCGAACGTGGACCAAATTTTGAAATCCGAATGGATGCGATGCTGCAAATACCAGCTAACACAACATAGCCGTAACAGATCCTCCAAAAAGAAAACGAATCGGTGGGAAGAATCCTGTCGAAACCATCATTAATCATTAAAAACTAAATCAATTGAAATTTAAGTTAATACATCTATACAAAAATGCATTGCATTTGCTGAATTTTGCTTCCTTTCGATAATATTTTATAAAGTACGATAAGACCAACAGCCGATCTTTTAGGGGATTATAATCTTATAATCCCCGCCCAGGGCTGACAGAAACATATGTTGAAAAAACAAAACTCCAAATAATGAATCAAAAATATAAAAACCACTGAGAAACATAATAAATAATCAAACAAACACAAAATTTATAAGTTTCTATTTCAAATGAAAATAGAAGGGAACTTGCGTGAAAAAAGGGAGGCCCCCAGATTGATGGGCCGGTCCTGAACAGGTCGGAAGAATGCAAAAACGACTACATTGCTTGGGCATGAGTCAGCACATTGATGCCGTTATTTGTTTGTATTGTGTGTATTCACAGTGGGGAAAAGAGGTGGCAAAAGTCAAAAATACTTTATGATAGCTTTGAATAATATAAGTGTACACATCTAATTGAGAATATTCTAGAGCTTTACTCATATTGAGCGGGTAACGACATATCTCCTGACATACATTTTTCAGCAGGAGATACATACATATGTCGTTCGGAGATATATCGCTATGCCATATTGAGTGCAAGCTATGCCCACTGTTCGCTGCTGCGCTATCCGGAACATTTTCGCTGACGAGCAGACGAAGCAGTCGGGCAGCAGCGCTGTCTCCAGCTCGCTACGCTTGTCGCTGACGAACAGACGTTGTTTATTTTTTGGTATTATCTGATTTGATAATACGAGAAATGTACATAGGACTGCATCAGGTTTTAGCACAATGAATGAATTCATATGTACATATGTAATATAGTACCTTTTATGCCATTTAGCGTTGTAACTCATGTATAACACATATACATACATATGTATAGTATAATATTAAACAAACTGTGTTCCAAGTTGGTTCCATTTAAACATCAAGATTGCTTGTTGGGACTTAAAATTGGTAGATAATGGCCAACAAGTTCGTCTGCACTTGATTCATTTTAATGTTGCCTGATTTTGTGGGCCAAGTTTATGACGAAGTGGTGGATGGTCGATGTGGGAGTGCAATAAAGGGTTAGAAGGGGCTGGCGCGTTTTGTTTTCTAATTTAAATTTATGTTTATAATTTATGGCCCAGACCCATGAACAAGGAGCCCATCCCCTGGTTATAATTCTAAATTTCAGGTTTCTGTTCTTTGAGGCTATTCATTTTTGAGCATATTTCGCGGCCACGGATTCCATTCGCAGTCTTGAATTAGTTTACAGTTCTTCGAGAGGGCTAGGGCTAAGGCAGTGAAGGGCTATGGCAGGTAATTACTCTTTCGAGTAATTGGATGCATGGAATTGGATTCCACAGCAGCAAAAGAGTAATGTGGGTAAATATTGACAGATTGGCAAGTTGCGTCGAACCGTGGATACAATGCGATAGGTATATTTAAAAAAAAAAGTCTAAAAGTTCGATGCAATTTCCACGGAGCACCGACCCATAAGCGACATACTCTTGCTACTTCAGACTTCAAGTCTCTCTTTTAATTATAAAATAATATTTATAATTATATCTAATTATTAATACTTATTTTTTAAGGTTTGTATTAATACCAACTGCGGCTGATATTTTTATATGTCTTGGGTGGGAGGCTGCTGTTGGCGCTCAAGGAGGCGTGGGGGTCCTCTCTCCACATTCATGGCCACCAGGCCGTGCTTCTTCGTGTTGTTGCTGTTTCTGATTGCGTTTCATGTTACTGTTGTAATCCTCCAAAATTCGGTTAATGTTTTAGCGATTTTTGAACTCTGTTGTGGTTTTTCTTCTTGTACGTAAGATGCCGTGTTTATGTTGTCCCTAGACTCACCATCAACTGAAGCATCTGGGGGTGATCCCCCAACGGGGGATCCATCTCTGTATGTGTATGAGTACACGTATTTGTATCTGTATCTCTGTTTCTGTATTTGAGTATCTGTGTGGCATCAAATATTTATAGACGTGCCAGGGGAAGCCGCCAAGCAATCGCTTCATATTCAATATTCAGTTGTTACGCGTGGAAAGTGCAGCAAATAGCCAATTCGCCATTCCAATAAGCCAAAACCAAATGAGCAGAAGCCAAACGATGGGCCCAGTCCTCTACTCTTCTTCTCCAGAACCCAACTGGGCCAAGAGCTACGAGGCATGCGGACTGGTGGTAAAGCTGTGGTTATGAGATGCGAGATCCTGCAACAGTTTCCGACGCCTTTTTCCCGGGCAGCACAAAAAAATCCAAGCGTTGCGGCTGCCTGAGCTGTCCCATGCAACACCGTTTCGATACCGTATATCGAAAACAAAAATAATGTGATCTGTGCCTAATTGAAGATTCAAGAGAAATTACTAGCACATTTCCTAAAATCGGTTTTAGAATGAATCAGGTAGGCCAAAAAGTTTTTGTTTATATTTCGGAAGTACATTGATTGAATCGGGCTCGGAGAAAAAAGGAGGCGACGAATTGGCAGTCTAGCTAGACACAAAGAATAAACAATAAGTACAAGCAGAAACGGAGACTACAGAATTATTATTTTTCGTGTGAATTTTTGTGTGAAATATTTTACAACAATGTCTGAACGCCAGAACAATTTCTTCAAGGCAAAATTGGCTGACCAGGCCGATCGACACACAGACATGCCTGAGGCCATGAAGAGCACCGTTTTGATAGGCGAAGTGCTAACTGTGGAGGAGCGCAACATGTTCTCGGCTGCATACAAGAATCATATTGGGAAGGTGCGTTCTTCGTGGCGCGTCCTTAATTCGATCGAATGGAAGGAGACGGGCGTCGTTAGCGTGGAGCATCTGGGGGTGATCCCCCAACGGCGCGGACTTCAAGCAGGCGTCGAAGCAGTCGCTGTGCTCTTAAAATGGAGCCGGGGAATTGGCAAAGGAATTAATGTTAATGTTTCAGCGATTTTTGAACACTGTTGTGGTTTTTCTTCTTGTACGTATGATGCCGTGTTTTTGTTATCCCTAGACTCACCATCAACTGCATTGGTATCACCTTTTTAGTATAATTAAATTTGAAAAAATTCAAATGGCTTACCTTCTATTTGCATAGCGGTCGATACGCGTCCGTTATGTGACTTTGTCACATAATTTTTTTTTGTTGCTTACAAAGAATTGAGTCCGAAAGTGTAGTGTTCAAGAACCGTGTGCAGGACTACTTAGATTAATATTTATCCATTTCATCCAGGTCTCCCTCCTGGTTCTGGTTCTCAGGCTCAACACCATCTGCGGTGTCTTCTTGTGCCGTTATATTTGAAATCGTTAATTAAAATATTAACCAAAATGAAGGCAGTGGCTTACCTTCTTGCTGCAAGGCAGACGTCCAGAGTGTGGAGTCTCTGTAGCTTTCTTCGTTCAGCTTATCCAGTTCTGCAATGGCATCATCCAAAGCGGGCTTTGCCAAGTCGACGGCCTTCTCGATAAATCGCATAGTCTCGTAGTAGCAAACCGATAAGTTCAGTGCCACACCCAAGCGAATAGGGTGTGTTAGAGCCAATTCCTTTCCCAATTCCCCGGCTCCATTGTAAGAGCACAGCGACTGCTCAGACGCCTGCTTGAAGTCCGCGCCGTTGGGGGATCACCCCCAGATGCTCCACGCTAACGACGCCCGTCTCCTTCCTTTCGATCGAGTTAAGGACGCGCCACGAAGAACGCACCTTCCCAATACGATTCTTGTATGAAGCCGAGAACATGTTGCGCTCCTCCACAGTTAGCACTTCGCCCATCAAAACGGTGCTCTTCATGGCCTCAGTCATGTCTGTGTGTCGATCGGCCTGGTCAGCCAATTTTGCCTTGAAGAAATTGTTCTGGCGTTCAGACATTGGTAAAATATTTCACACAAAAATTCACACGAAAAATAATAATTCTGTAGTCTCCGTTTCTGCTTGTACTTATTGTTTATTCTTTGTGTCTAGCTAGACTGCCAATTCGTCGCCTCCTTTTTTTTCCGAGCCCGATTCAATCAATGTACTTCCGAAATATAAACAAAAACTTTTTGGCCTACCTGATTCATTCTAAAACCGATTTTAGGAAATGTGCTAGTAATTTTTCTTGAATCTTCAATTAGGCCTTACGAATTCCCCGTACACTTTCCCCAATGACTGACTTATCCAGCCCAAAACTATTCAATATTTTGACGACCTTTTCCATCATGGAATGTCTCCGATGATTCTGTGAATGCTGATGCTGATGCTGAAGCAGAAACAGCTGATGGGACCACGACCACACAAGGGTCTTAAAAGAAGGCCAGGCCCGGAAACGTTGCGGATAGCGGATAGTTGGCCACAACGATATCGGCATGTGTACTCCGTCCGGACACCTCTCCTGTTCTACTACGCTCCTGCTGACGAAATAAGAGGAGTGGAAACCAGAGGAGGCAAACATTTCATTTATTATTAAAATCACTTTCGTTGCAATGAGGATTCCAAATGTCCCATCGTTTCGTTTCTTTTTATTGGTGTGCGTATGTATGTGTGTATGTTTACTCTCTGTCTCCCTCTCCCTCTTCCTTTCTGTCTCTATCTCTGTCTCCATCGGCGTTCGTATGCTCCAACAATGTCCGAAATCCTGACTAGAATTGTCTTGAACTAGCCAAGTCTATGTGTAATGGTCCTACTGTCCCACAAATACGTGTCTTCACCCCTCAATATTGCGAGTATCTCAAGAAGCGTCTCCACTCGTCATCATTCTCCCCCTGTGCTCTTGTTCCCGCTGAATGTATCTCCATCTGTCTGTCTTTGGTAATGTCTCAGCTTCTGCTGATGCTGCTTACCATACTCCCGCCACGGCCTGCTTCGCCCATGGACGCGCTTGAGTGCCTCGTGTTCGTCAACATCGTTCGACGGAGCTGGCTCCGGGTGTGTGCTCGTCTGTGAGAGTGTCCTCCCCACCTGCCCAACGTGGAGCATATTCCATGGATTTAACTCAAGTGTGCTTTGGAGATTTTCTAGTCACTTTAAAACGCTATGCACCACAGGCAGGCTGCCGGGACTCACTGTGCCTGCCCTTTGTGTTGCTTGCTGATGCCCTTACAGAGGGCTATTGTGACGCAAATAAGCATAAAGAATAAAGGAAACATGTACATACATGCGCATATATTCATGATCAAAATGCCCGAGATAGATGTGTCGATATCCCTCGACCTAAAACGTTTATTTTGACAGTAGGCTTTACACTTATAAAACTTAATAAGCCCTATAATTGGTGCCAAAAACCACGAAAAAAAACAGATGTGGATTCATTTTTTTCAATTAGTCCTTGAGTTGTGCTGCGGGAAGTGTCCTATTCAGATCCCTCTGAAGATAATTATCAATTATAATTTCCGGCACAGAAACAATGGATCTGCAAGGGCATACCCAGCGTCGGCACAGAATTCCGCCTTCCTTTCATGTTTTTGTATGTTTGGGCTGCGCAAAATGTCAACGAAAGTGCAAATAAAATGTAATGGTGAAATCATTGCAAAAGTTACGAATACAGACGTGGAGCACACTCCACACTCCACTCTCTGCTCCGCATGACTACAGGTGTATCTGTGTGTGCACGAGAATAAGTTGCCATACGCATAGGTTAGCATAGGTGTATCTGTGTGTGGACTTAATGTGCTTGTCATTTGGTTTGTCGCACCCACGTGAATTTGTTTTTATTCCAACATTGCATTTTATGAGTCGGTCGGCATTTTTGGCAAACGCCTTTTCGTCAACCTTTCACATTCCCAACAACCCTCTCGACTCTCCACTTTTCGGCCACATTTAATGATCCCGTGGCAGGCAACCGTTTTCCATTCTCGAAGATATCTCGTTAGGGGAATGGTTGTCTAAGCAAAACATACCTGTGCTTTGGAATCTTTATGGGCCAAAAAATCTTCGAAAGTTTACAGATTGTCATAGGGCCCATACGATGAGTTGCAGACTAGCAAGTATATGCATATCTATTTTGATCTTAGCTTAGAGTTCGATAGAGATAAGGTGCACAATATGTAGTTTGTTTAGCTCATGTCTGCCAAAATTTCCGACTGTCAAGAGCACAAAGAAAATGAAATAAAATATTTCTGAGTAGCTTTTCTCTTGTGGTCGAAAAGGCATAACATGCCTTTGTAGTCCCAAAATGGGCTTACAGGATGATGGGATGATTCGCACGAAGCAGATCTCCTTGAGTCTAATCCAATTCCTAATCCTTTCTCACACTCATACTTGAGTCAATTTCAAATATTGGCCTGTGGATTTATTCTGGTAGTAGCGGGGAAGCGGGGAACAGGGAACAAAAGTGCTCAAATATTTATGCCTCTTGTGGTGTATACTCGTATCTGAGGAAAGCACAATGAAACTAAATAAGAATATTGCGATATACAATAACCGACTCCGCAGACCCACTCCGCTGAATAAAACATGGATAGTATGCGGCTCTGGCTCTGGCTCCAGTTCCAGCTCGGGATGAGCATATAATCAGACTCTGAAAAGGGCTCTCTCTGGCAAAGCGACACCGGAGCAATGAATTTCTGAATTTAGGCGATGCTCGTATGAAATCTCTCCCCTTATAAGCGAGGCACCGGGACAAACCAGACCAGACCATATCGCACATGAGTAGTGCACAATTACACACATTTTTCTCCTCGTACGAGTATTGTATTTCCATCTCTGTATGTGTATGTGTACACGAATTTGTATCTGTATCTCTGCTTCAGTATTTGAGTATATGTGTGGCATCAAATATTTATAGACGTGCCAGGGGAAGCCGCCAAGCAATCGCTTCATATTCAATATTCAGTTGTTACGCGTGGCAAGTGCAGCAAATAGCCAATTCGCCATTCCAATAAGCCAAAACCAAATGAGCAGAAGCCAAACGATGGGCCAAGTCCTCTACTCTTCTTTTCCAGAACCCAACTGGGCCAAGAGCTACGAGGCATGCGGACTGGTGGTAAAGCTGTGGTTATGAGATGCGAGATCCGTTTCGCTGATGCTGCAACAGTTTCCGACGCTTTTTTCCGGGCAGCACAAAAAAATCCAAGCGTTGCGGCTGTCTGAGCTGTCCCATGCAACACCGTTTCGATACCGTATATCGAAAACAAAAATAATGTGATCTGTGACTGAAAATTAATAATAGGCCACGCCAACCCAGCCCCAAGGGCATCCGCGAGGTTAAGCCAAAGGGTTAGCACGAACATAATTACGAGGGATGTGGCAATCACAAAGTGTACAGCTCTCCCACCTGCCTCCTGCCACCTGCCATTCCATGCCTTTCTCCGAGGATCTGCATATGTAAATGCAATCAAATTTGCAACGGTCATTTGGCCAGCCAGCCAATCTAACGGCCATCATGTGGCATGTGGCACGGCGGCATGGGGACCCCAGGCACTTATGTATTCATAAAGAAGCCGCCGTCGCAGCATCTGAATGATGTTTACCTCATAAATAAATAATTGTTAAGCACAAATATGTGCAGCAGCAGACAAATTACCAATGGGTGGAAATCCTGCCAAAAATTCTTCAGCTGCCTCCAACACAAATATATATACATACATATGTACATATATTTACATGTGTAAAAACATACATATGTACATGTGCATATGTATGTAAATATATGGTATATACATATATTATAGTATATATACGAGGACTCCAAAAATGTTTTCACAATATTGAATCGAATGAAGTTTTATAAAAGTTCCAAAAGCGGAGCTACCAAAACAGATTAGAAGGAAATAAAAGCTCGACTTCCAAGAGATCTACTCGGAATGGTTGGGATTTGAATATTTTTGTAGTTTATGCTAATTAGGGAATCTTGATTCGAGCTGCACTTGGCAATGAAAAGCTCATCCAAAATTCCACTAAAGAATGGCACGACTCATCAGGGATTCGATTGGAGTAGTCCCAAAAACTAGCGCCTGCGATAGCAAAGCCAAATATTAATGTCTATGAGTGTATGCATGAGTGTGAATGTCTCACAGATGCACTATGGGATATTTGACCACTTTTTCTGGCCAAATTTAATAACTCAAGAACGGAGCAAGATATTTCCATTCTGTTTTTTGCATCGGGTTAAATGAACCAACATCTATTAGAAATAGAAAAATAGAGGGCACCGCCCCTTTTCTTTTTAGAACTCATTTAAATTTAGTCATTTCTTTAGAGTTCTACTTTAACAAGTAACAACCAATTTTGTGATAGTATTAGGTTATATTTATTGGACAATAGTGGGCGTGGTACGCCTTTAACAAGGTAAAATATATTGGAGCCAAAGTATAGTCCTCCCGAGTATTTCTGATTGTAATTCGATTGCCCAGAGCTTCCATCAAAGCCATAGATTAAAATGAGTTCCGCCGATAAAAACTGTGTACCTTGATCTTTCATAATGTTCTTGACGATGTCAACTTGCAAATGAACGAGCCGAGTTTCTGTGTGAGCTAGAAGACTCTGCAGAGTTACTTTAACTATTTTATCAATTACTGAAAAATCATCAGGTCGGCTCATTTCTTTTTGGTGAGCAACCGTCTTGTAAAATGGATATGTATCGCATTTTTTTTTTTTTATTGGTCTCGTATATCCAAATATTGCTATTTGTAAAATTTTGGTCCAGAAGAAGAGCTAATGCCTCATCAGGGGACACAGCTTCTGGCGTTTTGATCGGTGCCATAATTGCTTTGCGCATGTATTTAGCTTTTTCGGGTCATATCGAAAGCAGCTTCAGAATACTGGCAAGATCCACTCCTGATATGGCAGCTTTGATCAAATTCAACACAGCATCCTCCTTTGCGACTTTTTCCCTTGCTTCGTACCACTTGCCAAACAAATCTGAGTTTTGCCAAATTGAGGTTATGTCCTAA